CCAGAGGCTCCTGAGCCAGAAAGCTCAGCCGTCCGTACAATGCACCAGAAACAAAGAGACAGCTGAACACGCCAGATATCTCCTCCCTTCTGCAGAGCGACTGTAGGCAGCTAACAAAGGAAGAGCTCAACTAAGAATATTGCGAACGGCTTGGATCACACTTTATTTTTTATTCTGTTCAAATATAAGCTGAAGCCCTTGAGTGTTACGCAAGACAGTTGAGCAGCATTACTTCTGCACGGCGCCCCGCGTGACCGTAGAGCAGCATTAACACCTGTCTGGCTGCTGGCGCATGACGTAGCTTCACAAAGGGGATTTATGGTTTCGCCTCGCAAATCTGCTCCTCTGTACTTCTCAGGTACTTCGCTACGGGGCAAACATCTGCTTTGTGTGTGTTTAAGGCTGAAAGCTGTGTAGACCTGTAATGTTTGCCACTATTTCTAAGTAGTTTTGACACCAACACTGACTTTCTTTTCATGCCAAAACAATACAATTTATTGATTTGTTGGAATCTGCTGAAGGATTTAGATGTTTTTGTCCAACCCCAGTGAGTGGTTTCATTGGGTACACCGGGCAATAGACCTGACCAAATGACTCCAATCTGTGCATTAGCAGTGGTCCCCAACCACCGGGCCGCGGACCGCTACCGGTCCGTGGGCCATTTGGAACCGGGCCGCATCACAGAAAGATTTTTTTTCTTTTTTTTTCTGAAAAATGTTTTATTTTGAAAATTGACCGGCTTTTCTACTAATTATGTGCGCTCGTGTTTTTCTTCACGTTTCTCCCTCCCCGTCGGTCGAAGGCTAGTAGTCCGTTATTCTGCCGGACCTTCTCGACCGGATCGCGAAATATTGTCTGACATGAAAACGGTCCGTGAGGTAAAACAGGTTGGGGACCACTGCATTATGGTATCTGCACCTGCAAAACAAACAACCTTTTAAAGTGGATTAAGACACTTTTGGGGTAATTGCATCTTCCTCATTGTAATGTAATTATGTTACTCATGCAGTTTTTTCTACTGTTAAACAAGGTTTAACGTTTCTTTCATCCCTACAATAAAGTAGAGCTGTTTAGCACACATTTAGTGGTGCACAGTAACTGTTTTGGACATAAATCTGGTCAACACATTAATAAATAATGGCTGCAAATTGCTCAAATAACAAACACTGACAGTATATTTGTTTTTCATCCAGTTATTACCGCTGCAACCACCCAGTGTCACAACCTTGGTTTAATCTAACGTTATTACTAAACCAGAAACCAGTCGCTGTAGCCTCAGGACACTCCAGTTGCCAGCGACTGTTATGGTCAACAGATCCCTCTCTGCAGCGGCTGTACTGCACCGCTCCCGTCTGGTCACGCAGCCCGAGCAAGAAACGGCAATTATTCCGCTCTCGTTAATTACCGACCGGCCGTCCAATGGAAGTGGACGGCGGGGCGGTTTGTGTCGGTGATGTCACTTTCAATTGAGCTGCCTTCCCCCTCTGTAATTATCTACGACTGTGGCCTTTTGTGTCTGTGTTTAATTCCTCCATTCATTGGAATCAGACCTCCGTCTGTTGCTTTGAGTTGATTCTTTATGAGAGAAAATGAATGGATCGCAGGTTTTAATTAGAACAGAACAGAGCTGGGATCAGGTCAGCCTCCTCGTCTTTGTCTTCAGCTGCATGTTAACGGGCCGGGCCCCTTTTTCTCGTCTTGACCGGATCATCTGGAAGAGAGCAGCAGTTTTCCATCCCGACACTTCCTGATGTTTGTTGCTCGACAGGATTTTCGAGCGCACCGCGCTCACTTTTCCCGTTGGAAGATATTCTTGTGTGACCGTTTGTACATTTCTTCCCAAAGCTCCATGTGTTTTTAGTGTGGCCCCGAGGGTCATGGAACTCACCCTTTTTTATAGCTTCAGCCGTAAATTAGGAAAGACTTGATCATAAATCATCAACACGTCGTAGGAGTCATACGGGTTTTTCAGCGGCAGCTGTGAATTTCTTTTCTTTCTTTTTTTTTTAGTTGAAGCATGAAATGACACAGAACTTTACTACTGAATGCAAGTTTCTCGGCCCAACCAGGCAGCATTTTTATTCATTATGACAAACTGATAATAAGCCTGTTATTTATGAACAACCTTATAACTTCTACGCGTATAGCTTCTGTTTACAGTACCGTCATAGTACTGGTTATTTTCTGAATGTTTATGTAAATCCAAGGTCAGTGATTACGTGATGAGGGATTATTAACATAAATTAAATCTGTTGCCAGTATAGAATTGGGTGAGCATTGAGAATACGTTAGGAAGTCGTATCCATTATTGATTCAAATTGCTAATTAGGAGCAAGAAAAACATTCACCTTCCTTTCCTCCCATCCCCTTTACCCTCGTGTGTGGATTAGAGCTTCCATGCAGCCTTTCTGATGTTCTACCATCTAAAAAAAATGTTTTTTTTTTCCTTAACGTTTGCTTCTGGAAACTAAAGGGTGCTGCAGAACTTTGAACTCCAAGCGGCTCTGCCGAGACTCAGAGCGACGGCGTTGACGCTGTTTGTTTGCTTTGCGCGGCGGCGGAGCTGCCGTGGGGGTCGGCGCTGCAGGCCGGCGCCTCCACTCACATCCTAAAAACATTACCCAGATAACCCCTGCAGCTGACCCCTTCTTGTCTAAAGCTTTTAGTGTCGCTTCCCCATAAAATCTGTTGTATATTACTGGCGTTCACAAACTAGCAGGATCTGGGAGGCTTATTTTCAGCACAGGACAGATGTTGAAAGTTGAAAAGTTCAGCCGAAGTAAATCCAAACACCACCGACAACGTCGCTGTAACGGCGTGCAGCAGAGCATCATGGGAGAAGCTCAACAACAACCGGGCGGAAAATACCCAAAGCTCCAACGCATGTAACCGTCGTGTCAAGTGACAAGAGACTCAGTGTTGGTCAAACTTGTTGTGTATTGTTGTCATCTTGTGAGTAAAACGTGACCACAAACCAGCAAAGTGATTCGTTGTTGTTGTTGTTGTTGTTGTTGCGGGTCACTTTCTGCTCCGTGTTTGAGGGAAGTGACCATTTACATTCCAGCTTGATTCACCGTGCAGCACGAAGGGAGTTGAGGTCGACATCTTCCCGTGTCATAAAGGCCCACATTGATTCAAATGTTGAATTCAAACTTTTTTTTCTTCTTTTAAAATCCGTCACTATTGGTGCGTCTTGCTCTTTATTCAATTAAATGTAAAATCACCAAATCGTTTCCCCCGGTGTGTGAGGACCCAACTGTGTACGTGTGAATACCGCCGCCCCCAATTAGACCAAGTACGACTTAAAGCTCAACTTCATGTGAGTGAGCCGTTGTTTTGTTGCGCTCCATGTTTCACACTGCAGCTCTTCTTCAAGCGCTGACATTCTTGGTTGTCCGTTTGGAATTGAAACGCTGTGTGTGGCCCCCGTGAAGATCTCCCTCCGCTCTTATCGGGCAGCTATGTAAACACAGCGAGATCATTTAGAAAGTTTGTGCGCTTGGCTGACCTTGTCTTCACCCGCTTCAGTTTAGACTGGGAACTTTAGGCCGCTATTTTCAGGTACGCAGTCTATTAGTCTTTAAAGCCTCTAACAGCATCCTCTGCTACTCATTAAACAGCCCCCAAAAAGCTCCCTGCACAGTTTCCTCCCCCTCTGTGCACTTTGTGCTTGCTGTTTCCCTTTGCTTGTTTACTTGTTTGTGTGTTGCAACATTCTCAAACATGCAAAACAAGTTCTAGTTTGCGTTTCGTCCTTTTTTTGCTTTGATCGGGTTCTCTGGGAATGTGGTCCGCTGGCACAAGTTCTTTGAGGGATCCGTATACAATTTAGATTGCTTGGATATACAGTTTGAATGACAAATCGAGGGTGTCCCAACATGTGTAGGCTTGTACAACCTGCACGCATAAGGTGTCATGCATTGCATTTGATCGCACCCCGTGTACCCCGAAAAAAAATATTCTGACATCTATGAACGACGAAAGGGAGAAGGCTGTTTCCCAGGAGAGGCTGAGCAATGTAGTTGGTCAAGAGACGAGTTGATTATAGGGAAGAAAAAGGCCCTGTCATGCTGAATTAGCCTATAACCATATCAAGGGAGCAGGATGGTTAATGTCAGCATTTTGCATTCTTCTTTAGATCCCTCGGTCGCTTCTTGATCAAGTTAAATTTATTTCTGTTTATATTTGACTTCATGAGTCAATTCTATCTGCTGGTCAATCCGATTTTAGCATGCTTTAAAAAGAAAAAAACTTCATTTTTTTAAAATATATATATTTATCTATATATTCTGTCTTTTTTTGCTTTTGATTTATTTAAATGTTTTATGTTTTTTTTATAAACATGTGCATGTGGCCTTGAGTGAATATCGCACTATAATATAAATAAAGAACCAAATATTATAAGGGATCAGCTATCAAGATTAATGCACATTGAAATGATCAAAAAAAAGTTTCCAGACTGTATTAATTGATAAAAACGTAATGAACTGTTTCAATCCTCCAGCATTGGGAGTTAACAAAAGTCTTGAACATTTTTAGCAGATATGGACAAAACTACACCCGTGTACTGTTTTGTACGCCGTCTAAATATACGAGATTTTTCACATCAAAGTAAACTATTCATGTGCAGATGTCTCAGCACTGGAAAAAATCAAAATCTTACCAAGTATATTTGTCTCATTTCTAGTCAAAATATCCCATTACACTTAATATAAGATACAAATGCCTACCACATACGATTTCAGCAAGATATAGGGACTTGTTTTAAGACAATACATCTTGAATATCTTGTTAAGTGAAAAGGTCTTGAAAACATCTAGTTTTGAGTCATATGTCATATGAAACAAGCTTTTTTAACTTTTGAAGAGATTTTTAAGCTGCTGTGTTGTTTGCAAAAGATAAATCATCTTGTTTCAGGAATTAGACTTTTTTGATTTAAGAAAATATATCTTGTTTATAGGAAATCCTTAAGTTTCAACGGATTTGGACAAAATCTCATAGTTCTGGAGTCTCTGCTGTTTGCCTCATGGTGATCACAAGACTAGGGATTCCCAGAATGTTGAACTATTCTTTCAATCAAGTTTATCAGCATCCACAAAAATATTGGCTTGAGCGAGGTAGGGAACTTGTACCTCATAAGATAAATAATGATCATTCCACTCATTTATAGAGAGAGGCTGGCATTCAAAACAATACAGTGAAGAATTTACTATGTAGATGTTTTTCACAAGTCCAGACTCTGGAGTACTATTGATGACATTACAAATAACCAAAGTTTTCTCACATCTACACTTATTTCCATGTTGCATTATCCACTTTACCGAAACTATATGTTGAAGGTTCTGTATTTCTAAGAAGTCTTTAATCTTTCCTTCTACGTAGTGAACATTTTGAACCTCAGAGACTGGGCCGATATCAACTTCACTTGAAAAAATTGGATGTGTCTCATGCACATTCTGACTACATTCATGCATGCTCTTTAACAAAACCAGCATCTGCCCTGCTGACTGTTTCAGTTTATTGTCATTTGATGACAGTGTATTGACCGATATGGGGCAAGGCTTATCTCTTACATCCAAAAGAGAGTAAAGGATAACAATAATTGCACTGTTGAATGCGTCTAACTCCATATGCTCTGAAAGCACAAAATGGTTTAAAACACATTTGATTTCATATGGGGCAACACCTTCAAGAATAATATGCATGATGTCTTGTGGAGTTTGATTATATCAAAGTGAGGAAATTCTGTTAATTTGCTTCTCCTATTAATACCATATAATACCAAGATTTTCTTTCAGAAAGTCAGTGCTTGCTTTTTTAATGTCTCTACATTGTCGATATGACTTGTCATGGTCCTTTTAACAAACAAATCTTCATTCAATTGTTCCTGCATGTCGTCAAAGTTGCATTCAAGTGTCTGCATTTACTGTAAGCAAACCCTACTCCTTCCTTAAATCCAGCCACTTCATGTTGAGCTAGAGTGTCTCCACACACAGTCATAAGCGCCCCAAAAATTGTCTTCTCACCATTTGCAGTGACAACTTTTAACACTATCATACAGCTCAATCAAGTCACAATTAATGCTCTCAAGCACCTTATCAATACCACAATCAGAAATATCTTTTGATTTTACCATGGCAAGCAGACGAATGGCAGCAAGTCTTGATCTGTATTTAGGGTTGATGTTACCTAAGGTGTAATAAATCAATAACAATTTGTTTTTGCTTGCCCGAGATCCAAGAGGATTGCACAATTCAATTTCATTTGTATATAAAATGAATTGCAATGCTGTGGGGACTCTCAAAAACAGTGGGTGTGATTTAAAAATGTCTCCATCGATACAATCGTGAAAAAATCCATCCCGGCATGGCTGTGGCCCCTGATCAATCATTGCAAGAACTCTTGGATGCATTAACAGCTGTTCCAAACTTCAACAATGGTATATAATAAAAGTAATGGTGTTCAATGGTAAGAACTCTCATAACATACCGTATTTTTTTATATAATCGTCTCTGGTTCAACTGGCTGTAACAGTTCTTTGATTGTTTTATCCTGCAAATGTGTTGTAGCGATTTGACTGAAAGGATCATTAAACTGGTCAAATACTCCCATCACATCACTCTTCAGTTGACCAAGGTCCCCAGAATGTGTCTGAATCATGTTAAGTTATACACTCATATAGTCACTAGGACAGCCATCAATGCCACACACTATGCGAAAGTCAGGGCTGCGACTGTGTAAAGAGTTGATGTGACTCAATGTTTTTCAGTGTAAACGCCACAAAAATGTAGCATATGAAACAACGGCAGATCATCTTGGAGGAGCAAGGTTCCTAACGTTAAGGCGAGTGCAGCAAGCCAACACGTTATATCCAGCCCGGGAGAAATTACCGGTAGTTTATCAAGTTCTTATTTAGTTATCTTTACAGAATAATTCATCTGAAATGGGCAACAATTTAGTCAAGCTATACACAAATATAACACATTCCTAAAAACACTCAAAAACTAGTTGTTTTTAATTAATTTGAAAAAATTAATTAATGCCATAAACCCCTGTTTTGTAAATGGTAGCAGTCTACGGCTCAGCAGTGGGCAGGCTGTCCCGCTATTTTACGTTAGTCCTCATTAAAGATTAAACAAAAAAGAGAGAGGACCCACTCCACTACTATTTCCGTCTCTGAAAAACAACGCGTTTTATTCAAAATCTGAGCATAATACAGTGAGCATAATACAGTCACTAGTTCTTTGAAGGAGTGAGACGTCTTACTCGTTTGTCGTGTCTGTTGAAAGTTGGGCATGCGCAGTACGGAACACAGACGGCTCACTGGAGGGAACGTTACAGGTGCGTAATTAAGCTGCCTCGTCCGAGACGGTTTGAATTCGTATTTCATTGCAGGTTAAGTTGTATCGAATATCTCAGTTTTTTTAGTCCAATACATTTTAAATATTATATTTAATATTATTTGTTGTGTACACTGTTGCAGCCGAGCACAAGCTAACGTTAGCTAGCTATCTTGCTAGCTAACGTTAGCTAACGTTATTTAACTTGCTAGCTAAAACTGCTAACAGCATGGACGAACTTGATGACGTCACGGTGTCGACTTTAAGAGGTAACGTAGTCAAATATACATTTTTAACGTGGTTATTAATTTTTCGTCATATTTAATATGCACCAGTAACACCAAGAAAAATCCCTTGTAAGTAAAAACCTACTTTGCAATACTTATGATTCATCAGAGAGGTTAAGATCAGCTAAATTTAAACAGATTAAGACTTGCAGTCCTCTCTATAAAATCGGTAGTAACTCTTAATTCTGAACAGATTTGAATGGAATGGTTTTATTATAAATTGGATAAATTTAACTTTATACTGGTTACGTGTTTCAATTAAATCCAGTTACTGGGGTGGATCTACTCTGTTCTATTATACTAAAACATTCGGAATAACCACAACTTAAAATATAAATTATTTAGAATGTATGCTTTTATGAGTTTCTAAAAAATGTAGATTGCTATATACATTCAGTAAATTTGAATTAAAATTGCTTCAGAATTAAGAGAGTTACGACTGATTAAAATGTTTAATTTACCACTCTGATGTGATGCATAATCCACTGAGGTATGTCATTTCTTTATCTATTGTTATATCATGTGTATTTACATTTTTTGATGATGAAGTAAGTTTATTCATTTTCTGCTTGTTTAGTAAGTATTTATATCCAACACCATAAGGCAATCACTAAACCTACCTTCATTATCACTAAAAGGAGAATATTAACACAAACTATTTAGGATTATTGTTATAACCTTAGTGGAGTTGTCAATGCTGCATCACAATTTGTGTTAAGACAGTATAAATTAAAAGTTGCTTTTACAAATACTTAATTATCTTTTATTTTACAGGAAACTGTAGACTCAAAATCAACGAGCAGTTCTACTTCTATGATTGGGTCACCCCTATCTCAGACATCCACTCAAGTAAAAAGATGTCCTGCAAAGCACACAACACCTGAAAATGTTGTTGAGTTATCCTTCCCAGAATATGTATTGCACACTGACACCAAACTAGAGCAATGCCCAAAAACAATATTTTGAGTTGGCGAGGGCCGGCGAAGAGAGAAACTGCCAAATGTCAAAGGACCTCAGATGTCGGCTCATCCGAAACACCATGACCAGTATGATCGCAATCCTGAGGGCAACGGGGGACAGAGACAGATACCCGTCATAGCCAGAAATAACAGCTATGGCAAAGCGAACAGTGCTGTACTACCCCATGCTGCAGGACCGAGACCTGAGCAGCAAGTATGCATGGGTAGGTCAAATGCATCCAGGTGCATGTTTGATGTTTGAAGCATTTATTTGAATTTTTCTTGTCACAGGTTACTGTGTACTCACAGCTATACAAAAGATTGAAAAATTTGAGATCACCCCAAAAGACCAATCCAAAGAGGCGCCGACTCGAGGAGCCAAAGTGCCAACCTGACTGACCCAGATGAATTTGATTCAAGTGACTCAACAGTCATTCTGGATCTCCCCTCAAAAGGGGGGCAGCATTCAAGCATTCAAGACTTCCCTTCTGAAGGGAGTAGCACCCCAGACTCGGGCAGCAATGCCAGATGTGAGTTCTAACATTACATTTACAAATTTACCATTGTGTGGTGTTCATAGTTTACACTTCTTTTGATTGGAAGACTAATAAACTGGAAGACTCAAACTAATTGCTACCATATTATTTATAAAGTTACTAATTTCTATGAATTAATGCCATGTATTTAATTATGTATATTTCTGTCCTTCATCTAAGATGCCCGCATCTTTGCGTAAGAAGAAAACTCCAAACCGTGAGTCCGTCTCTCAGCTCCTGGATTTGGAATTTTCAGCCAGAAGAGCATTCATTGACTCTGATTCTTTTTGCGAGGAGGACAGACACAAGAAAATTCCAGAGGACATTGGACATGTAAGTCATTATTGACTAAGCATAATTTAAAACATGGCACCACACAAAACAATGTCTTGTATGCCAATTTCTGTCTCCTACCCAATGCAGTCAAATGTCTTTATTTGTATGTTGGATAGGTGATGGGGGAGCTTCAACGCATTCTGGACAAAAATAACATCCATTACATTGATGAGCTGAAGGGAAGATGGGACGACTTCTGCCAGAAGGTGCAGTTTTTTGGTGTGTGGAAAAAGCTGCTGAAACCCTCAGTAGGAATGGACAAAGGTAAGCAATGATGTTTGATGTTATTAGGGTGGACATTAGGCAGGTTTATGTGCTAGTGTCTTCTTTTCATCTGTGGTGGCTATCGCATGATTTGTGTAACTTTTTTTGTATTTTAGCAGATGTTGTAAACTGTTGGTCAGATTTGACCTTGTATTATCTAAGTGTAAAAGTAACACATATTATCCTCAACAATTGAACAGGCTCTCAGTATCCTACGTGTGCTGCCTTCATTGTTCCCCTCTTCATCTGCTCCTCTGAAGAAGTTAGGACATGTGAGTGAGGCTCTTGTGCATGTCCTCGAGGTAAGCAAAATGAATGCACTACTTGGTTAATAGTTTTTATTGACCTAGTGAAGACCTAAAAAGACTGGCCTAGCCCAACAAATGTAAATACATTTATATAGATTCAAATACAGTGTGTTAAGCAACACAATTTTTTGCAGTAGACCCACAGACACATTCTGATATTCTTTATATCTGTGGTTCTAAAGCTTCTTAGACAGTGTGCCACCTCAGTAAATATTGGACTCCTCAAGTACCACTAAAATCACTGATGTAAAAGAAAACCATAGCTCCTCCTCTGAATTTTTCTTTATCCTGATGGAAAGATGTCCATTTTATGTGTTTAAGGAAAAAGAAGACCCCAATGACTATCTGAAGAAACGTCGTCTCTCCTGCCCAGTCCTTATTGTGAGTTTGTCCAACTGCCTCCTGGCTGTAGGAGATGTGCTGATAACTACGCTCCCAAAAGACAAGGTAACACAGGGTGTTTTATACCTTACGGCCTACTATTATGCTCTACACCTTACTTACCCCAGGTGCGTAGCCACTCTGCTCTCTGTCATAAAAACGGAGGTTCTCTTGGACACAATCCATGAGCGAGACCTCACACCATCTTTCAAGAAGGGCATGGCTGACTGGAAAGCCTTTGTTGGCAAGTAAAGCCGTTTCCATTCTTATTTAGCAAATGTTTCCCAATGTTAAGGTCGCAATAATAACAATGTTGTTGATCTATTGAGGGACACAGTGGTCAAATATTTATGTTAATGTTAGCCCAAGACCCATAACTTGTTGCAATAATAAGCACATTGTAAGTGTATTGAGGAGACAGAGGTCAGATGATTATGTCTGACTGTAATCCATGTGTTACACATATATGTCATGTTTTGCTATGTTTTTTTACTATTATTAGTATTTTATTACAGTGCCATACACACTGCGCCAAAACATGACTGGTGCTGCAGGCACAGTGTAACTGACTAACTGCACTGTATTGTAAGAATTGTTTGCTCCCTCCTGCATTTCAGAGCTAAAGAGGCATGCTCTTTCTTATGCAAATAAAATATTTGTTTGTTTAATGCACAACTTGTTTTCATTGAAGTATGCGTGTGTCTTAAATTTAGAACA